TTGATGATAGTGGTTTAAAGTCTTTGGATGAATATATGCCGTGCACACTTTAGTAAGTGCATACATCTCACAGTTGTGGAGGTCAGAAGCCTAAAACCAGGGTGCCGGCGGGCTTGGCTGATCCTGTGGGGAAGATCTGCTGCAGGCCCTTCCCCTCGGCTTGGAGAGGACGGTCTTCACGGTCACGTGGTGTCTGTCCTACGTGCTCATCCATGTGTTTGAATCCCTCCCTTTTTATAAGGATACCAGACGTGGTGGCTCAGGGCCTACCCTCAAGAACTCATTTTAATTTGATTACCTTTGTAAATACCCTCTCTCCAAAGGAGGAGAATTCTGATGTACTGAGGGTCAGGATTTCAGCCTATGAATCTTGGGAGGATGCAGTTCAAACCTTAACAGTCACTCTTACTCTGTCTTTCTCTTTCTCTATCTTTATTTCTATTTCTGTACGCTTACTATACATATGTATACTTGTATGCACACTATGTTTGTGTCTATATACATGGTTCAATATATGATATATTGCTATTAAATCTTAAGGGCATTGTAATGCATGAATTGAAATAATTACTGAGCTGTTATTGGATAACATTTCTAGAAAGTCAAGTATTAGTCTTATCTTACTGATGACTTCATGAAGTTCATGAAGTTAGCTAGCTCATTCTGCGCCAGAAATGACAGAACCATGCCTTATCCTTCTGTATCCACCTGTTTCCAGGTTCTCAGAAGTGGTTCTACTCTACTCCTTGTTCCACTTTGATGATAGAGGAATATACCGTATTTTAAAACGCCCTTCAGAGAAACTAATGGAGTCCAGGGGAAGCATGGAGTTTAGTGAGCAAGTGTGTGTCAGCGCTGGTTCCTAGTTGTGATGGCGGAGCACCTGCAGCTGTACATTCTGTAGCAGTGCAAGGGCTGTGGTAGGGAAGCCAGGTGGGAGATCTGAGGGGAATCCGTACTGCCTCCGCGACTTCTCCGTAAATCCCAAACTACCCTAAAATAAAAACTTATGTACATAGTTAAAGCCTTTCGTAACATTGCGCAGTGTCTGGTATGGATGACACAGTCGACTTCGCTGTATTTAGAACTGCCATGTAATTGCATTGTTCTCATGCCTACGCTCGTGTATCTTTTCGTAGAAAGAACGGGTGAGATGTGGCCTCTAGGGGGCAGTGTGGGCTCACAGACAGATTTTCACAGTTTGCCCAAGTGGAGGATGAACTTTTCACTTTTGAGCCACAGGCTTCTGTTTATTCATTGTTCCTCTTTAAAAAGAAGGCAAAGAAGATTATGCCTCTCTGCTCTCCTGATTGGTTGGAGATCTGTTTTAATTAATTTTTTTGTGCAGTTTCTGCTCTGCACAGACTCATCAGGCGAAAATGACCTGCAGTTTCATGTAGCGTTCAGGGAACCAGGGTTCCTGGAGGTTGACTGGGAGGAGGGGCGCTGGTTTAGTGGGCACAAGCACGTGTCCATGAATTCTCACGTGGTGGAGAGTGTGCTGTAGGGCTGAACTTCCTTTGGAGAAACTAGAAACAGTTTGCAAATGGATGAGGATGCTCATAAAGTAAAGTGGGGTTTCGATCTTTGAAGGCTGACATTGTTTGCCCTACTGTAGTTTGTTGGGGGTAAAGGGAAAAGGAAGCAAACCTTTGCTCTGGAGCAAATTTCTTGAGTAATCAGAATAGAAACTCAACATTTTACTTTAAAAATTACCCTGCCAAAGGTACTCTCTTAAGATCGACATTTTTAAAATTTTTAAAATATGTATGTATTTATTTTTTAAATATATTTTATTGATTATGCCATTACAATTGTTCTATTCCCCCCTTCATTCCCCTCCACCCTGCACACCCCTCCCCCACCATTCCCCCCTTTAGTTTATGACCATTTGTCTCAAGTTCTTTAGATTCTATATTTCCCCTACTATTCTTGTCCTCCCCCCTATCTATTTTCTATTTACGGTCTATACTACTTATTTTCTGTACCTTCTCCCCCCATCTCCTTCTCCCACTCCCCTGTTGCTAACCCTCCCTGTGATCTACATTTCTATGGTTCTACTCCTGATCTAGCTGTCCTCTTAGTTTGCTTTTGTTTTAGGTGTGGTTCTTAATAACTGTGAGTTTGCTGTCCTTTCACTGTTCATCTTTTTTTTTTATCTTCTTTTTCTTAGATAAGTCCCTTTAACATTTCATATAATAAGGGCTTGGTGATGATGAACTCCTTGAACTTGATCTTATCTGACAAGCACTTTATCTGCCCTTCCATTCTAAATGCAAGCTTTGCTGGACAGAGGAATCTTGGTTGTAGGTCTTTGGTTTTCATGACTTGGAATACCTCTTTCCAGCCCCTTCTTGCCTGTAAGGTCTCTTTTGAGAAATCTGCTGACAGTCTGATGGGAACTCCTTTGTAGGTGACTGTCCCCTTATCTCTTGCTGCTTCTAGGATTCTCTCCTTCATTTTAATCTTGGCTAATGTAATGATGATGTGCCTTGGTGTGTTCCTTCTTGGTTCCAAGTTCTTTGGGACTCTCTGAGCTTCCTGGATTTCCTGGAAGTCTATTTCCTTTGCCAGATTGGGGAAATTCTCCTTTATTATTTGCTCGAATAAGTTTTCCACTTGTGGCTGTTCCTCTTCCCCTTCTGGTACCCCTATAATTCAGATGTTGGAGCATTTAAAGATGTCCTGGAGATTCCTTAGCCTCTCCTCATTTTTTTGAATTCTTGTTTCTTCATCCTTTTCTGTTTGGTCATTTTTTTCCTCCTTCTGGTCCACTCCTTTGATTTGCATCCCAGTTTCCTTTCCATTACTATTGGTTTCCTGTGCATTTCCCTTCATTTCAATTAGTTTAGCCTTCATATGTTCCTCTAATTTGTGGCTAAAATCAACCAGTTCTGTGAGCATCCTGATCACCAGTGTTTTGAATTGTGCATCTGAAAGTTTGGCAATTTCTTGATTGCTTAGATTTATTGGCTCTGGGGCTCTGAGTTGTTCTTGAGCCATGTTTTGATCTGTTCATGCCTGTTACATATGAGGAGAGGTGCCTTAGGTGCTCACCAGGGCGGGGCCACCCAGGTTGCTGGTTTGTGATGCCGTATGTGAGGTTAGGGTCAGAGAGGGACAATGGCGGTCCCCTCTGCCACTTTTCGCCACTGGGGCCTGCATGGTCTGTCTCACCGCTCGCTCCTTCACTGTTTTATCTGTGCACAAATGTGTGACCGCAATCAGCCCTCAATGGGTCTGCCCTCTTCTCCACACCTGGGATCTGCCCACAGCTGCTGGCGCACCTGGGTCACGTGCCCAGGTTGGTCCGGTGGATCTTTCCTGCCCAACCCCGCTCTGCTGCTGGCTCTGCCCCTCTTACCGGTTTGGCTGAAGGGTTCGTTGTTGTCAGACTTACATGTAGTTCAATTTTCTGTGATTTGGCTGTGTTTTTATTGCTAAGACTTTGTTGTTTTTAAACTTGGTTGTGCGAGAAGGTGCAGTGCTTCCACCTATGCCTCCATCTTGGCGGAAGTCCCTAAGATCGACATTTTATTTTTAAGAGGCTCCTGGTTGGGAAACTGTAGGTGCTACTCAGTCAGGCATGTCAGAGCATGTGCCCATTCATTTGCAAAATGCTTACCTTGGACCTAGGGGCAGCTGAAGACAATTGTTCACATGCGGATAGGCTCAGAAACCCTGAAACACTTCCTCTGCTGGTGGTGGAATCTGAGCACTTCACACGGGGGGAGGGGGAGGGCAGGGAGTCTGGCCTACACAGGAGAAAATAGCTATCATTGGGAAGGCAGTTCAATCCATCTCGCTGCAACCTGTAGATTTCTTATTTTTGCTCAAAAATAAATCTGTTCAAAGCTCTTCTGTTGGGTTTGAATCTGTGAGCCTTTTAAGAAGATTTTTGAAAGGGAGTGGAAAATTTAGAGCTCCTCACATATAGCCTGTTGTGGAAGTTCAGATGGATGGTGTTCTGTTCACTCACACCATCCCAGGTGAATATGTGGGCAGGGGTCTTTCTCATTCTCTAATGGTACTGGGTACCAAACATTCTCTTCCCAGGTATAGTTCTCTCTTAAGTAGTGGCAGTAGAACAAAGTTCCATTGATGATCTAGGTATTTAATAGCTATTTTACAATGACTTGATATGTCCATTTGTCCCTGAGATCACAATTGGTCCCCTATCCCGGTCCCTTGTCCAGTGTGCCTTCTCTCAGGGACAAACTTCTCTCCATCCTATCTGTGCAAGTTAGAACCCTAGGAGCTGTCCTCGACTCCCCTCGTTTTTCCTCGTCCTTCCCCATATGGATGCAGTACCAGGTCCCACTGGTTTTGCCTCTTCACTGTGTTTCAACACCATCCACCTCTTTCCCGGGGAGAGAGAGTCCCAGCCCTTGGGTTATTTCTCAGGAGCCACCTCGCCAGCAACCAGTGCCACCTTTCAGACGTCGTCTGTGAGGTGTTTGGTGATTTCTCACTGGTCTTAGGGTAACAGTCGAAGTCACTTCTTCGTAGACAGTAAGGCCCTGTGAGGTCTGGTCCCTGTCTCTGTGGCCTCATCTGGGAACATCCTCCTCACCCCCTGGCCTCCAGGGAGCAGCCCGGGAGTTTATGCACGCCCTTTCCTCTGCCTGGGACTCTCTTCCCTGCTGCCTTTGTGGAATGACCTTCTGCTCGTCTTTCATCCGTTAGCTCAAGTGTGATTTCCTCACGAGTGCCTCCCCTGGTTTTCTGGCCCGAAAGGTTTCCTTTCTTCTGTACTCTAGTAGATCCAAGCCCTCTACTTCACTGTGCTGGCATAAACTTACCATCAGACGCCCAGCCTTGTTGCTTTTTGATTGAATCTGGTGTCTCCGCCACCAGAACACAGGCGCTGTGAGCAGGGCTTGTGCCCGGGGATGCTCGTTATCAAGTCCCCCAGTCTTGGCTCAGTCTTGGAAAAAGTAGTGGCTCAATATATTTCTTGAATGAATGAATAAATGGCTATTTTTGAACTGCCTGTTTAGGTCGAGGAAGAAGAACCCACTGGATATATTCGATATGAAAAATTTCTTCCAGTGATGACTAATATACTGTTGGAAAAAAGGTAAGATAATGCAGTTGTTGAGGTAAAGTAATGACTAGAATTACATTAATTGTAAATTACTGTTTTTTTCACCTTGTGTATTATAATCAACCAGTATTTTTTTCCAGAATAGCTTTCTTCTAACTTTTCACTATAGTCCGAACTGCCAGTTGCTATGTAGTTAGAAATATCAACCATTTCAGTATTAATCTAATGAGCAAAATGTAATTAAAGGGGCATTGGGGAGTGGGCTGGGATGGGAGTAAAAGACAGAGAACTGTACTTGAACAACAATTAAAATAAATAAATGTAAAATGTAATTAAAAGACAAATAAGCTACAAAAAGCTTAAGTCAACAACATTCTTATTGTCTTTTATTTTGAACTATCAGTGATAAATAAGAATTAACCCTAATTATTTTTCTAGAGAAAGCATAGCATTAGCTTACCATTGTTGATTTATTGAAGAACTTTTATTCCCAGATACATAGATTTCTATAGTGAGGAAAAAAGTAATAAATGACATCAAACATGTCAGTGATTTCGAACTAAAACACTGTTTCCCAGCGGTGTGGAGTGCTTTCAACTTTCATATCTTGAAACCCAAAAAAAGTTCAGTGAGGGAAGTATTATTTTTTTAATATGTTAACAGCTTTTATTTTATTTTATTATTTTTAAAGATTTTATTTATCTTTAGAGGGGAAGGGAAGGAGAGAGGGAGAGAAATATCAATGTATGGTTGCCTCCCATGTGTCCCCTGCTGGGAACTGGCCTGCAACCCAGGCATGTGCCCTGACTGGGAATCAAACCACGACCCTTTGGTTTGCAGGCCCGCGCTCAATCCACTGAGCTACACCAGCCAGGGTGCTTTTGTTGTATTTTATGTGATCATTTTTATGTAGAAACTGCTCTAAATACTGTGGCATTTACACCTTTTTTGCATGATTAGATTCAGACCAATTCCAGAAGATACCCTTCTTCAAGCTTTTGAGGTATGTAAGCTCTAGAGTATATATATATATATATATATATATATATATATATATGAAAAATTCATTGTGTAGAATTTATTCACCAAATGAAAATAAAATAGTTGTCTTTTCCTTAGGTATTAGATCCAGCTAAACGTGGGTATCTCTCTAAGGAAGAACTGATCAAGTATATGACTGAAGAAGGTAAGAGTTGTTTATTATGTATTTTATAACAGTGACTTATTTAAGTGTTTAATAATTTAACAATTAATGCAAAGATTCTAGGAGATACTTTAAAATCAATCATTCTGGTTAAAAAGTGTGATTTACTATTTCTATTATTTTGGTTTTGGGATGTTTTCTATTTTGTAGTGCATGAGAGGGAAAAGTGTAGGTTAAGGGGAAAAGGATTTTTGCCTTAATAGGATTTTGTAAGTATAATGATACTCCTATCATTATACTGTAAAGTATAATGATACACCATGCCCCCAGAAAACATGAATTATCAGTGAGTATAAATTAATGCCTGTTATTAGATTAAAGATTTGAATTGGAATTTATAAAAATTCCTTTTTAAAGAGCTTTTCGGTTGGTGAGGTTACAGGTAATAATGCCTCAATTAAAAATTAATTCACACAAAAAAATTCAGTTTTTATGCTGGTGGAACCATAGATATTTGGTTTGACCTTGAACTGTACTCTACACACACATACACACAGATACGCACACACTATGTACACACCAGATATCCAACTTATTTCCTTTAGGAATTCTCTCTGCTTAGGCTGATGTGCGAACTTGTTCTCTCCGTCAATAGCCTAATGGGCATTCTCTTGTCCATTCTCATATTGGTCATCTCCCCCTTCTCCCATACACGTTTATTAGAGTTCGTCTCCTTTGTTCAATTTGCTGGAGCACAGATTGAATCCTGAATGATTCAGAGTTTCCAGTCACATGATACAGAATAAAAAGTGCGGGCAATTTTGAGTGGGGAAGGCTGAGATGCGTCTACACACACAGATGGCAAGAGTGTTTTGACCCGAACCAACATTGGGTGTGAAGAGAGGCAGAATGGGAATAACTTGATGGTCACAGCTGCCACCCCCACTCTTGGGATATCGTTAAATTTGCCTTAGGGACTAGCTTTGATGGAAATGTTAGGGCTTTCAAAGCATCAGCCTCTTAATCCTGTGGACTGATTTAAGGGAAGTCAATCTTAGGTTATATCAGGCAACATAAATTTAGTCAAAGTAGCTCCAACAGCTCAGTGTCATTAGTATGGTGGACCTACTAAGTGCAGTGAGAGGTATGATACTAAAATCTGTTCCCTTTCTCAAGAATATTAAAGTTTTATTGGGGGAAATAAAAGTAACTTGCAAAATAATAAAAAAATATAAGACAAAACACTTCTGCCAAGATGGAGGCATAGGTAGAAGCACTGCACCTTCTTGCACAACTAAGTTTAAAAACAACAAAGTCTTAGCAACAAAAATGCAGCCAAACCACAGAAAACTGAACTACACGGAAGTCTGACAACGAACCCTTCAGTCAAACCGGTAAGAGGAGCAGAGCCAGCAGCAGAGTGGGGTCGGGCAGGAAAGATCCACCAGACCGACCCGGGCGTGCGACCTAGGTGGGCCAGCAGCTGTGGGCGGATCACAGGTGTGGAGAAGCAAGTGGACCCACTGAGGGCTGATCACAGTCACACATTCTCTCGCAGATAAACTGGTGAAGGAGCGAGCAGTGATATGGGCCATGCAGGCCCCAGTGGCAGGAAGCCGCAGAGGGAACCGCCATTGTCCCTCTCTGACCCCGCCCCCACATACAGTGTCGCAAACCAGCAACCTGGCTGGCTCCGCCCTGGTGAACATCTAAGGCTCTGCTCCTCATACGTAATAGGCACAAACAGATCAAAATATGACTCAAGAACAACTCAGAGCCCCAGAGCCCATATATCTAAGCAATCAAGAAATAGCCAAACTTTCAGATGCACAGTTCAAAACACTGGTGATCAGGATGCTCACAGAACTGGTTGATTTTAGCCACAAATTAGAGGAACATATGAAGGCTAAACTAATTGAAATGAAGGGAAATGCACAGGAAACCAATAGTAATGGAAAGGAAACTGGGACTGAAATCAAGGGAGTGGACCAGAAGGAGAAAAAAAATGACCAAACAGAAAAATATGAAGAAACAAGACTTCAAAAAAATGATGAGAGGGTTAGGAACCTTCAGGACATCTTTAAATGTTCCAACATCTGAATTATAGGGGTACCAGAAGGGGAAGAGGAACAGCCACAAGTGGAAAACTTATTTGAACAAATAATAAAGGAGAACTTCCCCAATCTGGCAAAGGAAATAGACTTCCAGGAAATCCAGGAAGCTCAGAGAGTCCCAAAGAACTTGGACCCAAGAAGGAACACACCAAGGCACATCATCATTACATTAGCCAAGATTAAAATGAAGGAGAGAATCCTAGAAGCAGCAAGAGCTAAGGGGACAAGTCACCTACAAAGGAGTTCCCATCAGACTGTCAGTGGATTTCTCAAAAGAGACCTTACAGGCAAGAAGGGGCTGGAAAGAAGGATTCCAAGTCATGAAAACCAAAGACCTACAACCAAGATTGATCTGTCCAGCAAAGCTTTAATTTAGAATGGAAGGACAGATAAAGTGCTTCTCAGATAAGATCAAATTCAAGGAGTTCATCATCACCAAGCCCTTATTATGTGAAATGTTAAAGAGACTTATCTAAGAAAACAAAGTTAAAGAAACATGAACAGTGAAGGGACAGCAAACTCACAGTTATTAAGAACCACACCTAAAACAAAAGCAAACTAAGAGGACAGCTAGATCAGGAGCAGAACCATAGAAATGAAGGTCACATGGAGGGTTAGCAACAGGGGAATGGGAGAAGGAGAAGGGGGGAGAAGGTACAGAAAATAAGTAGCATAGATGGTAGGTAGAAAATAGATAGGGGGAGGGCAAGAATAGTAGGGGAAATATAGAATCTAAAGAACTTGAGACACGTGGTCATAAACTAAAGGGGGGAATGGTGGGGGAGGATGTATGCAGGGTGGAGTGGAATGAAGGGGGAAAAAGAACAATTGTAATGGCATAATTAAAACATTAAAAAATAGCTAACACAAAAAATACATAAGACAATGGAAAAAATGAGTATCAACCTGGAAAGCTTGGTCTGGGAAGATTTGAAGAGAAAATCAGTTTTTTAAGATGGAATTTATGTGGGGGAGTTATCGAGAGCAGGGGCAAAATTTTCTGCATTATAGCACCCCCCCATGAAGTAAGTCTCAACAGACACTGGTTGAAGTAATGAATGACTGAGTGGATGAATGACGCATGGGTGAAGGGGCAGATGAGAGGAAGGCATGGTGTGAACAAAGACTGGAAGGTAGGAATGAGCGTGACTGGGGGGCCTCCGAGAGACAGGGCCCAGAGGGGCTTGTTGGAGCATGGTGGGCAATGAGTCTGGATAGATGGACTGGGAGTAGATTTTGAGGCCTGGGCCCAGGAGTTTCGGCTTCAACTTGTGGGCAGTGGAGAAGCATGACAGGGCCTTGAGCAGGTGAGTCACTCACAGTGCAGGACGGGTTGTGGGGACTTATCTGGTGCTGGTAGGCTTGTTAGATGAACAAGAAAGAGGTTCTACTGGGGAGACCAGTTAGGGGGCTACTTCATCATTTTGCAGGTGCCCCAATAAGGGCCTGATCTGGCAGTGGCAGTGGGAATGGAAAGAAGAGATTGATACAGTAGATTGTCTGCGGCAGGTTTGTGGGTCATGCTAAGTGTGGAGGACGAAGATGGGAGTGGAGTCAAGAGTAACGAGACTGTGACCTGGATGAGGGTTTATGTAATGCTACTGAGGGAAATAGGAAAGTCAGGGACAGACTGCAGTGGACACAGGGACAGCAAAAGTTTTCCCAGTGTCCACAGAACATCAGTCAGCTTGAGAACAAGCATTCTAACTTCCCAGGAGATCTGTGATGAACCTAATAAATCACACAGTATCAAGCTCCTGCAAGACAGAAGTCCAAATATGTCCAGGCATGTGTGTTGTGTCGCATGGTATTTAGCAGCCGGGAAGAGCTAAAAAACACTAAAGAAACACATGTCGCTGCTTATGTGCCAGGCAGTGTTCTAAGGTCTATGCAAATAACAACACTTTTTTTAAAAATTTTTTTATTGATTATGCTGTTACAGTTGTTCTATTCCCCCTTTATTCCCCTCCACCCTACCCCTCATCCCCACCATTACCCCCCTTTAGTTTATGACCATGTGTCTCAAGTCCTTTAGATTCTATATTTCCCATGCTATTCTTGCCCCCCCCCCATCTATTTTCTATCTACTGTCTATGCTACTTATTTTCTGTACCTTCTCCCCCCTTCTCCTCTTCCCACTCCCCTGTTGCTAACCCTCCTTGAGATCTTCATTTCTATGTTTCCACTCCTGATCTAGCTGTCCTTTTAGTTTGCTTTCGTTTTAGGTGTGGTTGTTAATAACTGTGAGTTTGTTGTCCTTTCACTGTTCATGTTTCTTTATCTTCTTTTTCTTAGATAAGTCCCTTTAACATTTCATATAATAAGGGCTTGGTGATGATGAACTCCTTGAATTTGATCTTATCTGAGAAGCACTTTATCTGTCCTTCCATTTTAAATGAAAGTTTTGATGGATAGAGCAATCTTGGATGTAGGTCTTTAGATTTCATGACTTGGAATACCTCTTTCCAGCCCCTTCTTGCCTGTAAGGTCTCTTTTGAGAAATCCGCTGACAGTCTGATGGGGACTCCTTTATAGGTGACTGTCCCCTTAGCTCTTGCTGCTTCTAGGATTCTCTCCTTCATTTTAATTTTGGCTAATGTAATTATGATGTGCCTTGGTGTGTTTCTTCTTGGGTCCAACTTCTTTGGGACTCTCTGAGCTTCCTGGATTTCCTGGAAGTCTATTTGCTTTGCCAGATTGGGGAAATTCTCCTTTATTATTTGTTCAAATAAGTTTTCCACTGGTGGCTGTGCCTTTCCCCCTTCTGGTACCCCTATAATTCGGATGTTGGAGCGTTTAAAGATGTCCTGGAGGTTCCTAAGACTCTCCTCATTTCTTTGAATTCTTGCTTCTTCACTCTTTTCTGTTTGGCCATTATTTGCTTTCTTCTGGTCCACTCCATTGATTTGAGTCCCAGTTTCCTTTTCATTGCTATTGGTGTCCTGTGCAATTCCATTCATTTCAGTTAGTTTCGCCTTCATATATTTGTCTAATTTGTCGGTATAATCAACTAGTTCTGTGAGGATCCTGATCACCAATGTTTTAAACTGTGCGTCTGTGAGTTTTGCTATTTCTTCATGGCTTAGATCTATTGGCTCTGGGGCTCTGAGATCCTCCTGGGCCATTCTTGGTCTGTTCGGGCCCTTTAAGTGAGAAGGGGCGCCTTGGATTCCCAGGTTGCTGGGTTGTGACGCTGTATGTGGGGGCGTGGCCAGAGTGGGGAAATGGCGACCCCCTCTGCCGCTTCTCACAGCTGGGTGCGGAGGAGCAGTGCCTTAGGTGGTTCACCTGGGCCGGGCCACTCAGAGTCGCTGGGGTATGTGGAGGTGGGGTCAGAGCAGGGAAATGGCGGCGCCCTCCACTGCTGCTTGCCGTGGGGACCTGCCGCCCGGTCCAACCGCCCACTCCCTTGCCTGTCCACCCGCGCACAAATGCGCGACCTCAGTCAACACGCAGCCCCGCTGCCCCGCTGTCTCCCCCGCGGTCGCTCGCCTGGTCACTCGCCTGGTCGCTCGCTCGGTCACTCACTAGGTTCAACCCTGTGCCTGGATTCCGTGCGTCTGACCGAGTTTTCCTGTGCAACCCTGCTTCACCAGCCGCTGGTTTCGCCCCTTACCGGTCAGGCTGAAGAATTTGTTGTTAACGGACTTCCGAAAAGTTCAATTTTCCGTGTTCTGGCTGTGTTTTCTGTTGCTAATATTTAGTTGTCTCTAAACTTGGTTGTGTGAGAAGGCACGGCTTATCCACCTATACCTCCATCTTGGCAGAAGTCCAGTGACTGAAATAACAACACTTTTAGTCCTCATAGCAGCCCCATGAGATAGGTAATAATTTCATCATCACCGTTTTTTAGACCAGGAAACTGAGGCACAGAGAGGTGAAGTGACTTGCCCAAGATCTTAATGCTAATGAGACAGCTTAGCATCTCAGTGCCTGGACCCAGGCAGTCTGGCTCCCACGCCTGTGCTTTGAATCATTCAGCTATTTTCCTCCCTTCCTGCCCCAGGGACCAGTGTGACCATCTCCCATAATCTACCTTGAGCAGGCAGAGTGTGGTCATCAATTCAGACTCCGGTTCTGCCCCCACTGGCGGGCAGGCTGTGGGTTTCCTTGTGCACCGGTGTCCTGGTCGTGAGTGGGGACGGCAGTCCATGCCTCTTGTGAGGCGGTGGGGAAATTAACTTAGTCACTGGGTGTGAAGCACTCAGGTCCGTGCCTGGCACACACTAGTTCCCAACAAAGTACTTATTAGTATTCCTGTAGGGACTGTGCCTATCCACGGTCATCGGTAGCATATTTAGCATTTAACATCAGGTATAAGAAAGGTATAGAATTTGTCTTTTTAGGCATTTCAGGTATTATTATTTTTTTCCTGAGGATGTAAGCATGGTTTCAAAAGAACTCAGCATATCCCCTTTGTTTGATAAGACTCATCACTGTCACCAAAACCCCCACCCAAGTAACCCCTGGATTACCACCTGACCCCCGACTAGAAAGCCTTGTTTGTAGGGGAGGTGACTTAGCTCTGGAGGTGGGTAATCCTCAGGCCTTGGTAACTTACCTGCTTGGATGAGACTTTTCACAGGTAAGGTGGCGATTTGGATATTTCTGTATTTTTGTTTAATATCAGGACAAAGTTCTGTCCTGAATGGTCAATACCCTTCCGAACAGTCTTCCTGAGTTTGCTGCTCATCTTGGTAAACCTGATATCCAAAGGCCTTTAGCTGGTGTCTGAATCCAACTGCAGCCCACAGGTTTTCCATCCAATTCCTAGTTTCATTTGACAGCAGCCCTGGGCCAGACTGGAACAAAGAGGGGGGACTGTTTCCAATGGCTGATGAATGGCATCTGTAGCTGGGTTTGGCTGCCATCACTGAGCTGGCCAGGCCTTGTTAGGGAATATTCGGAGATGTGATCGTTTGAGTTTCATGTCTCTGCTCTCTGCTCTTTGCTCTTCAGCAGTTCTGCATAGCCACTGTTTAATCCTCTCTTCATCGATTCCCTATAAAACTGAGAATTTGGGTTAATCCTTTGGCAATTTCAATAGTTTTAATTTAAATAGATAAACAACCATCGTGCTTATTTATGGTATCTTTGCATCCTCTGCCTTTTTGGCTGCAATGATCAATTCTGTAGGCGGCTTGAGCTACGAGGCCTGCTAGTAAAATAGTCCCAGGTCTGCCAGGGGTGCAAGGGCATGCCCTGGGGACCCCAGGACTGTGCTGGCCTCCAGGCACCAGGGGGAGGAGCCGGCGACTTGGTGGGGGCCTGTGGGGCCCCATGACAGTTCAGCTGGGAAGTGAAAGGAGAAAGAAAAGAATCAAGATTGTAACTGATGATTTTCCCCTTTTGTCCCTCCCAGGTGAGCCCTTTTCTCAGGAGGAAATGGAAGAAATGTTGTCTGCTGCAATTCACCCAGAATCGAATTCCATTTATTACAAGGACTATCTAACAATGATGGTGGTAGACGAAAATTAAACACTGTGAAGACTTAGTTTCTAACAGAAAGGGTCATTTTGAACATTGCTTGTCCTTGTGAATTTCACATTTTACCTTCCAGTTCCTACATATGCTAATTAATGCCTCATGACAACTATTTCAAGATATTTTGTTTTTTAGAAGATGATCATAACAATTTAAAACAAGTTTATTTGATGTGTCTTGCCTTGTGAAATGACAAATTACTAATTATTTTAATACTGTTCTTAATACTGTTTAACATTATTCATGGATTTTTGTTAATTTACCGTAATAAACTTAGGTTACCTTCAAATGAATTAAGCTGACAAAATGAAAAATGACTAGAACGACCCCAGGCCTGGCAGATAAATATCTTGGGAGGGAGCAGAGTTGAAAAGGAAAAGCAATGTGATGAAAGCTTCTTTTTAAAACAACATCAGCCCTGGTTGGGTTGCTCATTTGCTTAGAGCATCATCCTGATACACCAAGGTTGCAGGTTCCATCAGTGGTCAGGGCACATTCAAGAAGCAACCAATGAATGCATGAATAAGTGGAACTACAGATAGATGTTTCTGTCTCTCTCTCTGAAGTCAATAAATAAAAATTTAAAAGTATTATTTAAGAACGAAAACAACATTAAACAATTCAGCAATCTGGATGTTGAAGAGACTTATTAAAATGAATATTAATAATTAATTCCTAATGATTGCCAGTTACAAATCTCATTTGAAATGATAATAACTTAGTGTAAAAGTTTAATTTGGCCAGCTAAAGGAGTTGAAATAATCGAATTTAGAGAAAAGACAGCTGACTAGAACTTGGTAATGTAAGGAGGGGGCAGTTATCTTCTGGTCTTTGGAATTCTGGCCTGTTCAGAATAGCTGTCATGAGAAGAGTGTCCTGAATACTGGGCAAGAGTGCTGAGAAAACTCAGGCCACGGGGAGGTACAGCTGTGAAAGAGCAGAATAAAGCTACCCGAGCTCAAGGAATCTCAATGGAAAAAGATGCGGGGATCACAGGCGATGGGGATAATAAGGTGAAGGAAGAAACAATCTTCTGAAACCTCTATATACGTTTACACACACACACAGGGATCTCTGTTTAAACACACTTCGCCACTACATGTGTGTGTATACATATAAACATTCCATGTTGCCTGTGATCCTGCCTCCTTGGGGGGGTCTTGCCCCCCAAGAGAGGAGGCTGCTGCCTGAGGTTCTTTGTCACTGTCCATCCGTTCATGACACCTTTACCGAGTATTGCTGGATCACGAGTCACAACTGGAGTTGCAAGGTGAATCAATCCCTAACTAACAGAAGTCACCGTTTAGTGAGGTCACAGTTCAACAAGCCAGTCAGCAGCCATGTTGCAGACGAGCACATGCAGGGCACTGTAGTCATGCCCGAGAGGGGCAGCCAACTCAACCTGGCAGGGAGCTTCCTGGGGCGGCGGACTGCTGTGTGTAGGGAGGGCTTCCCAGAACAGCTAACGCCGGACTCAAGGACCAGCTACTTACTATAGGGCCTGCGGGACGCGGCATCTCAGCGGGGGCCCAGCGAGCGCCAGATGCCCAGTAGTGTTATGAAACATGGGGTGGTTCGGAAATGGAAGGTAGTTCAGTTGTCTGGTGTGTAGGAGATTTGAAAAAAGTGCATCATTAAGGATGTTAGGTGTGCAGGTAAGGTTTTAGTGTTAGAGTTGGACTTTCTTCTGAAGATCATAGAGGAAGAAAGATCATTTGTCAGTAGCACAAAAAAAACAGATGTGAAGAGTCAACACTAAAGGTAGGGAGATCTGGTGGCAGGCTCTTAGTTGACGAGGAGGGACGTGGGAACAGTCAAGCAGGAGTCCCAGGTCTCTGGCTTGGACAGTGGGCAAACTGTAGTGCCACTCACTCGGGTAAGGAACCCAAGAAGCCAGCCGAGGTTGGCAGGCAAAATGATGAGTTTGGCCATGGACATCTAGGGATTGAAGAGTGGTGAGACACTCTGGGGAGACCTTCAGTAATTGAGGATTAATAGGAGGGACATCTGGCTAGAGATGTGGGTTTGGGGGTTCTCAGTACTTAATGCTTTAGAAGAAAAGCGGGGCAACTGAACCCCGGGAAGATGACATTTAAAGGAGGGCAGAAGAGGAGGCCACAGAGACTGGGAAGGAGGAACGCAAGAGCAGGGGATGAAAGGGAGGAGCCTCTGGGATGCCCAGGTCAGTGAGGATCACGGGCACTAACCAACAGTGCAATGTCACAGACAGGTGAGGTCAGTTAAAGATGGAAAGAAAGTCTATTTGTTTTAGCAGCAAAGAGTTCTGCAGGAGCAGATTTGGTGAAGTGACAGGACAGGGTTTGGTGGGATGTGAGAAAGTAGGCCACGGAAGACAGGTGAGAGCCATGGAGAGGTAAGACATGGGCCAGAGAAAGGGCAGGGTGGAGGGCGTTATTTCTGGTAAGTGGGACCTATGTGAGCATGTTTGTATTCAAAGGGCCGAGGACCCTAAGGAGGTGGGAGCAGCCAGGTTCCGGAGCCGAAAAGGGATTGGCTTCGGGGAGAGTTGGAGTAATGAGCCAACTTCTGAAGTCCCTGCCTGATGCATATGAGTTCTTTGGCTAATCCCTTCCCCTTCTTTCATCTAGTCCTCCCTCCCCTCTGACAGCTGTCAGTCTACTCCACGTATTCATGTCTCTGTTTCTGTTTTATTAGTTTATTTTGTTCATTAGATGCCATATGAGAGTGAAAGCATATCCGTTTGTCTTTCAATGACTGGCTTATTTCACTTAGCATAATAATCTCCAGGTCTATTCATGCTGTCACAAAAGGTAAGAGTTCCTTCTTTTTTTTTACAGCTGAGTAGTATTCCACTGTGTGAATGTACCATTACTTTTTTATACACTCACCTACTGATGGGCACTCGGGCTGCTTCCAGATCGTGACTACTGTAAGTAGTGCTGCAGTGAACATGGGGTGCTTGTGCCCTCTTGACTTGGTGTAGTAGGTTACAGAGCTTGAGGAGAAAGGAAAAATTTGGAAATATCTTTTGTGGGAAAGAGTTGGGAAAGAGACCGTGTAATGATTTTAAAGAAACCCTGGGAGATTTTGTTCACTCACATGGGATCAAGAGCAAAAGTGGTGGACTGCGGCATTGACTCAGGGTTAAGGTTTTACTGGCTGGTGAGATGGGAGGGACCAAATCAAGAGAGTCGAGGAATTTATGGACAAGCAGGATAAGATTTGCAAGTCCAGATCCACAATAGAAGGAGCCTTCCACGCGTGGGACTTAAGACAAAAGAAGAGAGCCTTGCAGAGAATGTGTTTGCAGAATGGGTTTCAGGTTCTTCAGATGGTAAATAAGCTTTTCCAGTGTAGTATTAAGCTTTCCATGTCTAGAGAAATAACTAGACTTGGAAAACTGTAAGCTTTCAAAGTCTTGTTTTCCAAGTCCAGGTCCACCTCAGAAGGAGCCTTTCTCCCTTGGGAGTTGAGACAAAACTAGGGAGCCTTGCAGAGAAGGTGTTTGCAGAATGGCTTTAAGGTTCTTCAGATGATAAAGAGGCTTCTCCAGTGTAATGTTAAGTTTTCCAAGTCTAGGAAAAAAAAACTTGACTTGGAAAACTTTAAGTTTCTGCAGCCTGTGTGCCAGTCACCTTCTTCAGAAGCACTTTGGCTGAGGTGGTTGCTAAATTCCAGATTCCGGATCCTAAAACAACGCCAGGAACCCTTACTTTTAAGAGACACTATTGGGGGAGTCTTATGTACTCTACCATGCAAGAGCCTCCGTCTAGGTCGGCGTTACATGGGGACAGTGTGGGATTTGGAGCTGGGCTCTGCCAGTCACTGAGCAGGTGACTGGCACCGAGTTAAATAATGCTGAGTGTCTGCGGCCTGATTCATAAGGTGGAAAGAACACCTACCTCTCAGGGCCGTCATGAAAACTAAGTAAGATAACAAAAGTGAAAATTATTTAACACAAGTGATTCTTTATAGGACACCAGCTAGTTCAGAAGGGAGGAAGGAGGGAGGGGTGAGGAGGAGGAGGGAAGGGGTTGGGGAAGGGGAGAAGGGGACAGATAGGCAAAGCTCGCTGTCTGGGCGTCGTGGGCAGTCAGGAAGGTGGAGCAGGTAGGCATCGAGTGGTTTAATCAATCTTTACAATGATGGTGGTGGGGGCTCTGGTGGAGAGGTAGGAGGTTTGCTATCGTGATGCTATTTGTTATAAACTGTAAAGTCCATTTCTAGAGGATGAATCAGGAGGCGCTTGTCTTTTATAAGAAATTGTGGTAAAACACACAGCATAAAATTTATCATGTTAGCCATTTTTCAATGCTGTACCCACTGAACAAGTCCCCTTCTCCCCTGCCCCCTGCCCCCTGCTCCTGGTAACCACAATTCTGCCTCCTGCCCCTGTGAGTTTGACTGCCCCAGGTGCCTCACGTGACCAGCTGAAGTGACTGGCTTGTTCCACTGAGGGCAGTGTCTTCAAGGTCCGCCCGTCCTGTGGCATGTGGCAGGATTTCCCTCCTTGTAAAGGCTGAGGAACATTGCATTGCTGTTTGGGCCGCATTTGGTTTACTCATCCATCCATTTGATTTGCTTTTGCCTCTTGGCTGTTGTCAATAATGCTGCTGTACAACAAGTGTACAATTATGTCTTTGGGACCCTGCTTTTGGATGTACACCCAGAAGTGGGATCGCTGCATCCTTCTTCTCCCCCTCCCCTCCCCTCACTCCTCTCCCCCTCCCCTCCCCTGCCCCTCCTCCTTTTTCTTCCTTTTAATTATTATCAGTTCACCGTGCTTTAAGAGCAGCATGAATTATTCACCTCAGCCACTGGAATAAAAGACTCATTCATTTGAGGAAAGGCGTTTTATTATTACTGTTATTTACTTTTTATTTGAAATGCACAAAGTTGACATTGCAGGCGACTCTGGTTACTTAGACAGGAGATAGGATAGGCCAGCATGCTCGGAAACTCAGGACAGTTTTACAGTTTTACCAGGTGCCTGATGTCTCTTGGTTCTTCCTCCGTGAGTCTCCAACTCTGCAGTTAGAAATCTTGAACAAGGCTTCTAACCGTTTATCACTAAGCTTATGAAATTATTGACATATGGATTGGGTACCGCCTGACTTTTAGAACAGCTTACAAAGTGTTGCAGTTTGTTTCTGTGTTCTGAACGCTCAGTTTCCCAACGGCTTGCTCGCTATGTTGGCTGCACTCCAAGCCTTGTTACCAGCTCAGGGCATGGTATTCACTTAGGCAAAGTGTGTTGTTAGTGCTAGGAAAGGTACATCTGTCCTCCAACTCGTATTCTGGACAATTCACACCTTTTTTTAGTTGCTTCTCAGCAAATCATGTCAGACTGTCATCATTTTCACTTTGTGCCGTGGCTGACAAAGAGCTCGGAGGGTAGAGGGCTGGCTTCGCCATTTTCCTGACTCTCACGTCTTCTCAGAGCATCAGTATTGTCTTCGAGTTACTTTGTGGGAACTTTTTAAGCTTCTTGTCTGGTTACGGGGGCTAGTTTCCTTAAAACTAGGTGATGTCTGTGAAATCCCCGCACTTAACTGGGCACCTGTCAACTCAGGATGACACTGAGCGAGGTGAAAGAGAGCTAGGTGAAACCACCTGGGCACTGCCCTTGGGACACCTGCCTGCCCT